TCTTAAAACACAGAAAACTGAACCAAAGTGTGGAATATAAAGGCAGAAAAATAAAGAAACTAAGAAATAATGTTTAACTTTACAGTCCTTCTTGTTACGTGCTCTGCCAAGGGCCACAGGCCTGGTGGCCAGCCATGAGGTAAAGCCCAGCTCAAACTCGACTCCACTGCTGCTGTAAGTTTGCTTTGGGCCCACCTCACTGATACAGCTGCTGCTGATCTCGCCGCGTCTTGTACTGTGCCCAAAGTAACTTCCATTGGACCAGCCATGTGTCGGCACTAGGACCACCTTATCAGAAGCGCCTGGGAACTCAAACTCATCTCGGGCATGGCCACCTTGAGTCCACACCGCTGGGGCCATTCCAGTCCAGGCTGGGTCCACTCCAGTCCAGGCTGGGCTCACTCCAGTCCACACTGGACCCACTCCAGTCCAGGCTGGGCTCACTCCAGTCCACGCTGGGCCCACTCCAGTCCAGGCTGGGCCATTTGAGTCCACGCTGGGCCCACTCCAGTCCAGGCTGGGCCATTTGAGTCCACGCTGGGCTCACTCCAGACCAGGCTGGGCCATTTGAGTCCACGCTGGGCTCAGTCCAGACCAGGCTGGGCCATTGGAGTCCACGCTGGGCCCACTCCAGTCCAGGCTGGGCCATTTGAGTCCACGCTGAGCTCACTCCAGTCCAGGCTGGGCCCACTCAAGTCTGTGCTGGGTCCACTTGCTGCTGCCGATGCTGTCACCACAATGCTCTTTTCCCAAGAGGTAAGTACAAGTAAAGTTAAAAAACGAGAAAAGAAGAAAGGAATGGAGAGAGAAAAGCAGATGAGCCTAGGCTCAGGAGCCCTACACTGACTCCAAATTAGAAACATACATAACATTTGAGCAGAATTTAAATATTTACTTGCATTACCATAGCCTCAAGGGTTACTGTAGTCAGATCTGTTGACTGGTGCCGAAACAATGGGCTGAATGGCTTCCTTCTGTTCTGCAAACATCTGTGAGTCTGTGAGTAATTACACATTGTGGCAGTGATGTACTGTATCTATTACTGTATAACCAGTATATTACTGATATTGTTGAAGCATGTTCTGAACAGATGCTTCCTGTCTAGTGATTATATCAATACGCCACATGCTAAAGAGTCCCACTTTTTTTAACGCTTAATTTTCAGTTGATCCTAAAACAAGCATTTTCAATCAAAATAATGCTTTGAAAAGCGAATCTCTCTCCCTCCTTGGCTAATGGGGGCCTGATTACAAAATTGATGGGCATAACGGTACACATGAACTCAAGTCAAATATCCTTCAGCAGATACAACAGTCAGCAGTCTGAGACAAAGAATATATTAGTCACACGAAAGACAAGAAACGAAATAGCATTGGGCTGGGTTCACACAAAACAAATGTCTAGACAAGTTTTTACTCCAGCTATAGGTGTTACAAACCTATTTTCACTTAGTCCAATGTGCTTCAAAGGACAATAAAACATTAATAGGACTGAAATAGCATTGCAGAATTATAAATCAAGGATTTACATTTTAAAAGCACCCACAATTCTCAGTATGTCCTAAAAGCCAGTGAAGTACTTTTCAAAGTAGAGTCACTAGTCAAATAGGAAATACAGCAGCCAGTCTGTGTAGAGTAAGCTCCCACACAACATGATGACCTGATAAAGCTTTGCTGAAGAGCTATCCAGCTGCTACCTGACCTGCTGTGATTTCCAGCATTTTTTGTTTTCTGATCTGGTAATCTGTTTTGCTGAGGGATGAATATTTGCTCCGACTCTGGGCTCACTGCTGTTCTCCTGACTCTTTATCATGGGTTATTAATGTGAGAGGAAATGCCTGACCTCCTTAATCCAGCACTGGGGTATCAACCCAGAATACATGGTTATGTTGCTGGACAGTGAATCATACCGCTGATTCAGAGGTGACACTGCTACCACTGAGCCACAGCTGACAAATTAGATTTAGGATTTGACCTGACCTGACAGTAGTTTTAAACTATTCGCAACAAGACAATACACAGTAAACTGGAATATGCTGAGAGGAGGAAATAGAGTTGTGGAGATGTACAGCACGAAAACAGACCTTTCGGTCTAACTGCCGACCAGATATCCTAAATTAATCTAGTCCCATTTGCCAGCATTTGGCCCATATCCATCTAAACCCTTCCATTCACTTATCCATCCAGATATCTTTTAAATGTTGTAATTGTACCAGCCTCCACCACTTCCTCTGGCAGTTCATTCCATACACGCACCACCCTCTGTGTGAACAAGTTGCACCTTAGGTCCCTTTTACACTTTTCACCTCTCACCTTAAATCTATGCCCTCTTGTTTTGACTCCCCTCCCCTCAGAAAAAGACCTTGGCTATTCACCCTATCCTTGCACCTCATGATTTTATAAACCTGAGTAAGGTCACCCCTCAGCCTCTGACATTCCAGGGAAAATAGCCCCAATCTATTCAGCCTCTTCCTATAGCTCAAACCCTCCAATCCTGGCAACATCCTTGTAAATCTTTTCTGCACCCTTTCAAGATTAATAATATCCTTCCTAAAGCAGAGCAACCAGAACTGAATGCAGAATTCCAAAACTGGCCTGACCAATGTCCTGAACAGCTGCAACAAGACAGTTCAATTCCTATACTCAAAGCACTGACCAATAAAGGTAAGTGTACCAAACACCTAGTGAAAGATCTTTGTGTGCAAGTACATATGTCCCTAAAGGCTCTGAAGAAGGGTCACTGGACCCGAAAGGTTAACTGTGGAGATTTCTCTCCACAGATGCTACCAGATCAGCTGAGATTTTCCAGCAATTTCTGCTTTTGTTTCAGATTTCCAGCATCTGTGGTTCTTTTGTGTTTTTTTCTCCCTAAAGGTAGCAGTACAGGTAGATAAGGTTGGAAAGAAGGCGTATGGAAAGCTCTCCTTCATTGGCAGAAGTATAGACTACAAAAGTGGGGATATAGAAATGAAACTGCATAAGACTCTGGCGAGGCCACAACTGGATTATTGTGTGCTGTTCTGGCCACCACATTTCAGGAAAGTTACAACATTAAAGAAAGTAGTTGCTTTGTAAAGAGTGCAGAGAAGATTTGCCAGCATGTTGCCAGGGCTGGGGAACTGTAGTAACAAGGTGAGATTGGAGAGGTTGGGATTGCTTTCCTTGGAGTGGAGAGGCTGAGGAATGACACATACGAGATATACAGTATTGTTAGGAACACACATAGAGTAGACAGGAGGAACCTGTTTCCCTTGGCAGGGAGTTCAAAAAGCAGGGGTCGTAGACTCAAGCGAAGCGGCAGAAGGATTAGAGGGGACGGGAAGAAAAACTTTATTTACGCAGAGGATGGTAGGTGTCTGGAATTTGCTGCCTGAGTTGGTGATGGAGGAAGAGACCCTAAACTGTTTTAAAAATTACCTGGTTCTGTACTTTAAATGCTGTAAGCTGCAGGACCATGGGCCGTCTGCAGGAAGATGGAATTAGAAAGAGCATCGGGGTGTTTTGGGGTCAGCATGGACAAAATGGGTTGAATGGCCCCCTTCTGTGCTGTATCATTCCTGCACCTGATGAAGGGGCTGCGCTTTGAAAGCTTGTGATTTCAAATAAACCTGTTGGACTATAACCTGGTGCCATGTGACTTCTGACTTTGCCCACCCCAGTCCGACACCGGCACCTCCACATCGTATCATTCTTATGGTTCCTAACTGAGACAGAGGGTCTCATGAGGAGAGGGTGTCTCACTCTGCCTTGCTCTTGAGTCAGTATAGGTCTTCCCATTCGATTTTCTCCAGACATCTTTAGTGTTTGTGCAAAGGTGAAAATACTTCACACCTGTGCTAAACTTTTCACGCTTATGTTTAAATTGTTTCTTGTCTCTGTGTATTTGCAAGACCCTGTGAATTTCCAAACCCTGTGCCCCCTGTGAATCTGTCATTCCCTCATTCCTGCCTCTTCCCTCCCCTCATCAATGATGGCATGCCATTAGTTACGTGGACCCCTCGCTCTGAAATGTGGGGTGACCAACCATGAGGTGTTGCTGTCACTGAGTTACAACAGTCCTGCTCCTGCTGTAAGAGAGAGCTGGTCTCACACATCCAGCTCCTCCAGCTCCCCCCGCCCCCACCTTTCACAGGCCTCCCCCTGACTTCCAATCACACAGATCTCTCCCCAACCACCCCTCCCTCCTTCCCACAGATTTTATTGAGGGATCACCACAGATTTCAAGGCTTGACAGTGGGGCAAGGTATTTTGGAAGCTCAGCATGCATCATACCAAGGGTTAGGTGGGATCTGGCTAGATAGGGTTATAAAAAAGTTTATAGAATCATGAGGGGCATGGATGGGGGTGAATAGTCAAGATCTTTTCCCCAGAGTTAGGGGAGTCCAAAATGAGAGGGCATAGGTTTAAGGTGAGAGGGGGAAGATTTAAAAGGGATCCAAAGGGGCAACTTTTTCACACAGAGGCTGATGGGTGTGTGGAATGAGCTGCCAGAGGAAGTGGTGGAGGCTGGTACAATGACAACATTTAAAAGGCATCTGGGTGGGTACATGAATAGGAAGGATTTCGGGGGTAGGGGCAAAGGCTGGCAAATGGGTCTAGATTAATTTAGGAAATCTGATAGGGACAGACGGGTTAGACTGAAGGGTCTGTTTCCATGCTGTACAGCTCTATGACTGTATTTCCTCCTCTCAGTATATTCCCATTCATTGTGTATTCCCAATAGTTTAAAACTACTGTCAGGTCGGATCATATCCTAACTCTTAAGTTGTCTGCTGATTCCAGGCTGGACATCCCTCTCTCTAAGGCTTGGAGGGGCCTGGATTTCAGGTGCTCGTAGGAAGACGAAGGATTGAACAAGATGTAGGCGAAACAAAACAAAGGCAAGGTTGGGGGAATTGGAAACTGGTTTGAAAGTGGCGCCTGCAGTGCGTCAGGAGGCAGTGTGGGGAGCGAGAGAGGGAGTGAACACACACACACACACACACACACAGAGTGGAGAGAGTGAGAAGGAGGTAGACGGAGAAGCAGCGCAGAGAGACACGGTGCCTGCTCAGGAAGCTCTCCCAGCCTCCGGGAGGGTGAAGAATATGGACAAGGCGGAGAGAGAATGAGCCGGAGATCAGCAGCGGTAGCAGAGCAGCGGCGGCCAAGATGAATCATAGCAGCAACTCGGGATCTTGCCGCTTCGCCGATTACTTCGTGGTGGCCGGGATCGACACTGACAGTGGACTGGAGCCCGATGAACTCTCCGGTAGGTGAGAGGGGCTGAACCCGGGCTTGGCGTGGGGGTGAACCGCGATTGCAAGGAGGACTGCCTCTTATATTCCAGTGATGGTAAACATTCACAGGAGAGCGGGGGGGTGTCTGTACATTGTAAAACAAAAAGCGTGGGGGCTTAAATATAGACCTGCTTGTGAATTTCAGCATCGGCCCTTCTGTTGTAGATATCAGACGAAATGATTCGCCCTCTGGATAAAGATGGGTTCCTGGGTGGTGTGTTTTGTTTCTTCTGTGTAATTTGGCTGACTGCAGTCAACGCAATTCGTTTTTAACTCCTTCTGCCCCGTCTGCTCCGGTGCTCCTACCCCTTCTCCCCAATATAAATTAAAGAGGGCACAGATTCACGCGTCCAAGTGGCTGGTCTGAAACGGTGTTGGTCACCGGGCTATTCGACCAAGGAGGGCATCGCCCTCATCCCGCCCTGCTTCACCGTCTCCACCAGCGGACTGGAGTTGTTTACTTTTTTGTTAAGAACCGACCAAAGCTCCTGTCTTTAATTTCCATGCCCCCCCCCCACCCCAGCTCCCTAAACCCTATACCCCTGCGTCCTGTTTGAGGCTGGGGTGTTGAATTCAGGACTTGGGGGCAGGTTCCAAGGGAGATGTATTCTCACAAGCCCGCTGGCTTAAATAGGAACTGATCAGCTCCGTTCTGTTACCTGCATCCAGTTGTAACCCTGCGTATTAGGGATTGTACATGACAATTTCAGCTGGGTTTGACTTTGAAAGGCACAAGTCGATGTTCCACGAGAAGAATGGCCACTGATAGGATAAATCCAGAAGTTTCCGCAGCAGTGTAGAAGCACACAGGCTGCCTCTGCCAAATTACTCTTCCCTTCTGCAGTTTGATGTTGAGGCAAGCAGAAATCTTGAAAGGTCCCTCCGATAGAACAGCTCAGAAAAGTGCTGCATTGCTGTTGGAACAGAGACGTGTGTAGGACTTAACTGCGCTGTTCTGTCCAGTAAAATTCTCTTACTGAGTAAAGTTGACCATGGTTCCATTGAGTACATGATGTGGCGATCTGGATCAGGAGTGGTTTGTTTGGTGTGAGGGTGACCCTAGGTGAAATTCATGTCTTGGGCAGTCTTTCAGAAATGGTGTAATCTGCGTGGTTTTGTCTGCAATGTGGCCGGCTGTTCTGTAAACAAAAATACTTAAAATAATAGTAAAACTAAATGTGAAACCTTGGCTTAGTTAGAAAAAAATCTCAACTCTGAAGGTTACGAGTTCAAATCTCACTCAAGAGACTCAGCATGCAATCTAGGCTGACACTCCAATGCAATATTCAAGGGAATGTTGGAAGTGCTATCTTTTGATCGAGATGTTAAACTGAGAGGTAATATTCCCTCCAGGGTGGATGTAGAAGATAATATGGCACTATTCAAAGAATAGCAGTGGATTTATTCCCAGTGTTTTTGCATGCTAGTTATTCCTTAATGAATATCATTTAAAATAAATTATCAAGCCATTATCTTGCTGCTTGTTTGTGGGACCTTGCTGCTAATTTTCTTAAACAACAACAGCAACCACTCTTCAAACGTACTGTGCTTAATTTGGTTTCAAACATGACGGGGTGGTCCCAAAGCAGTATTCCAACAAAGCAAGTCTTCTTTCACCTTTTTAATTATGTTCATCATGTTCTTCTGTGTTAAGCAGGTTTCAGTTTCTGGAAAGCTTATATGCTTACCTGTTATTTATAATGGAGACACTCGAAAGAGCTGTATAGCCCAATTCTGCTTGTATTAGGATTGAAGGTATTGAATTGGATACTGGTTGCTGTATGTCACACTAAACTGATGGTCCAATATAAACACATTACCTCAGATACCCAGTGACTGAATGGATTAATCCAGACTGGTCTGTGCAGAGTTGGCTCAAGTTGGCCGGTTGACAGTAACTGCTATTGTAATTGGCTGGGGCCTTGCTTGTTTGACTCTTACTGGACGGTGCATGGATATCAGATGTAGGGCGAGCCTAGGATTGGGTGAAGTTGTGATGTCCCCTCATGACTAAGTGAACTGCCTGAGGATTGTGTTACTCAAGAAGACTGAGGCACTGAGAATGTATGTAATGGAGAGGACATAACAATCCATGGAATTGTGAGGCATTGATTCCAAGGGGAAGAAAGAAACTGGTCTCAGAACACTCCAACTCAGACAAAACAGTATTAAACAATTGCAAATAAGTTGTACTGTACAAACGTCAAACTTTTAAATTTAATAATTCAGTGAACTACAAGCTAAACTAATTATATTTTTTTATATGCTGAGATAAATTGTGTTATAAAACATTTGCAATATTTTCAGTCTTGGCAAGGTGTTCCTTTTCTCCTCTGTCTCAGCTCAAACCTGGATGAAACAACCTGCATTCTGCTGCATTATGCAGTGGTGCTTCGAAATACTCAGAGGTGCAGTCCACCTCTGCAATGTTAAAATGATGCACATTATCTGAATGAAAAGATCCCGCTCTAGTGATGGATGAGGTGCAGTGCCTGCCTTGCTGGGGCTATTACATATTTGCATTTTATAGCTCAAATCGTTAGCACTGCGTGGTTAAGTTAAACAATTGAGGAATTACATTCCAAACCCTCTGGCCCAATGCAGTTCCAGAGCTGAATAATAATTTTGTGATGTCCTGTTTATTGGATTAATGGAATTCAGATGAAGCCACTCTGAATTGTTCAGCTTGTAGAACAATTATTAATTTAAATGCAGTTGTTGACTGTTTTATGATGGATAATGGCAATAACAATGTTGGGTTGATGTTCAGCCTTCAGGGTTTTAATTGAGTGAAGATTAGAAATGTTTGTCATTGTCAGAAAACAGTATAATGTCTTAAGTGCCTACTCCCGGTTTGAATTGCAAGATACGTGATAAGTGAACTCATTTTCAAGCATTGAAATTATTTCTTGTTTCGAGGCATATCCATATGCATTCCATTCCTATTGTTGAGGTGCTGAAGTGGGAAGATGTACTGGGAAGCTGGCCTCTACTAGATGTGACTTATTGTGGCAGCTACTGCTCTCTGTTTGTCACACTCTTGCCTCTCAGTCCTAAGGGCAGGGGTTCATATTGAGTATACCTACGGTGATGATTCTAATTGGGCATTGAGGGAGTGCTGCAATGTCAGAAGTGCAGCTCTTTGGGTCGGTGTGAAAGATCCCTGTAATATTTGAGCAAGAGCAGAGTTAGTCTCCCCAGTGTCTTGGCAAATATTTATCTCTCAAGCAACATCACTAAAACAGATTACCTAGTCGTTATCCCATTACTGTTTGTACAATCCTGCTGCGTGCAAACTGTTTCCCTGCATTACACTGCAGAAAAAGATTTCAACGGCTGCTAAGCACTTTGGGATATGCTAAGGTCATGAAAGATGTTATATATGGATCGGTATTTGCTGCTGTGCAAACCTACGGTTTTCTAGACTAATGTTCTTTGGTCATGTCAAACAGTCTCGCTGTGACTATTATCCATGGGGTGCAGCTTCTCTAGATAATTGGTGTGGGGTGGTTGTTGATGAGTGTGTCAAGAAATTAGATTTTAAAAGATTTTGGAGAGGGGTGAGAGTGGGGATATAATTTTTTTTGGACAGGACTATTTAGTAGTGTGGAGCTTAGCAGATTTGCTAGTCAGAAGTGTTATGTTTTTTGATACAAAACACTTCGGTTTTGATTTGCTAGCTTTGATTCTTTGGGGAGCAAAACCTTTTTGTTTGCATTTTTCCCCATCAAAGAACCAACAGCTGAAGCACAAATCTTTAAATTGTTCTCCAGCACCGTTCTGAGCCTGAGTGATCTTTTCTGTTCGCTGCATGGGGTGTGAATTTATAAGCATCCCAGCTTGCAAGTCCTGAATCAGTCTTTCGACACCTGGAATCATGTTTATGGCAATTTCCCATTGTGTTGTATTTCATATAGCACTGGAATGGGAAATGTTCTGTGACTGGCTCGCGTACTGTCAGTACTTCCCGATACCTATTCTGCCTTGAATAGCCTTTTTTGAAATGGCTCATTTGTATTTTCCCATGTCTTCAATCCAACACGATTGCTAAAATATGCACAACAATCCTTACCCTCCTCTGTCACAATGAGAAGGAGTTGAGAGATTATTTGGCACAGCGTTTTCAGAGCAGCTCTGCCATATGCCCTGATTTGCTGGATTAAGACCCCCAGTCAATACTTCCCTCTCTCAGTGAATTTAAAAGGGCTGAAAGATTGAATTATCAGGACATATTGCATTAGTTTGGTTTGTTGGCTTTAGAGTGTTGAAGGGTGATCTAATCAAAGTGTTTAAAATGATAAAAATGGATTCAATAGGGTGGATAAACTGCTTCCAGAAGAAGGGGGAATGACCTTCAACTTAAAATCCGTGCCATTCAGAAGTCTATTCAGGAAGTGTTTTTTTTCCACTCACTTGGGAGAAGACATCTTTAAATCACTGCCCAAAAAATGTTAAGACTGGGAATCGAGTGCAAATCTCAGAATCGCCACTGATACATACTTGATGGCCAATTTAAAGGGTTACAGAACCAAAGTGGGTAAAAATGAAGAGATAACAAGGTGTAGAGCTGGATGAACACAGCAGGCCAAGCAGCATCAGAGGAGCAGGAAGGCTGATGTTTTGGGCCTAGAAAAATGAAGATGTCCACCAGAAGAGTTTGGCTGATATACAGAACTGAGATGAGGGGTTAAATGAACTCTGTTACTTGTCATTCAGATCTGGGGACATATGGGGGGGGCGGGGGGGGGAGTCTTCCTGTTTTAGCCATTGCCCTGTGGGAGTCGAGTTAAGAAGAGGGTTTAAATAAAACAACGTGACTGGTGGCCAAATGGTGTTTATCACCCAACGCTCCGATTTTTCTCAGCACTTTGTTTAGCCTTCCTTTTCCCTGGCACAGCTTTCTTTGGCCTTGCTGGTGGTACAGTCTGGAGCAGAGATTTCTCCATAGCCACTATCAAAGGCGATTTATGAT